AAAAGTACAACATTCAAATTCTGCCTTTTTCTTCTTTTATTGCTTTGACTTGGTTAATACGCACTGCTAATTTAAAGAAAAGTCGTGTATGGTAACAAACATGGCACTCAAAACACTATCAGATCATAACTATGTCTCTGATTTACAGTGCACTGAACAGCAGTGCAAAGCAGTGAGGCGCCACATGCGACCTCTGTTGCAGTTACTCAACTCTGATACTGTAGCATGAAAGCAAGCATAGATGAAATAAACCAGGGAACTTGGCTGTGTTACAATAAAATTTTATTTATTTATGTTGATGTTGTTAGGTACTGTTGAGTCAGTTCCAACTGATAGCAGCCCTGTGTACAACAGAACAAAATACTGCTTGGGTATGCACCATCCTCACAATCGTTGCTCTGTTTGAGCTCATTGTTGTAGCCACTGTGTCAGTTCATCTTGTTGAGGGTCTTCCTCTCTTTTGCTGACCATCTACTTTACCAAGCATGAAGTCCTTCTCCCGGGACTAGTGCTTCCTGATAACAAGTACATAGGATGAAGTTTCCCTATCCTCCCTTCTAAAGAGCATTCTGGCTGGTCTTCCAAGACAGATTTGTTCTTTCTTCTGGCAGTCCACGGTATATTCAATATTCTTCACCAACACTAATTCAAATGAAGCAGTTCTTCAGTCTTCCTTATTTGTTGTCCAGCTTTCACATGCATATGAAGTGATTGAAAATCCAATGGCTTAGGTTAGGTGCCCTTTAGTCCTCAAGGTGACATCTTTGCTTTTCAGCACTTTAAAGAGGTCTTTGTAGCAGATTTGCCCAATGCAATATGTGTTATTTCTTGAGTGCTGCTTCCATGGGCATTGATTGTAGATCCAAGTAAAATGAAATCCTTAACAACTTCACTACTTTATTTGTTTTTCATGATGTTGCTTCTTGGTCCAGCTCTGAGGATTTTTGTTTTCTTTATTTTGAGGTATGATCCATACTGAAAGCTGTAGTCTTTGATCTTCATCAGTAAGTGCTTCAAGTCCTCTTTGCTTTCATCAAATAAAGTTGTGTCATCTGCATATCACAGGTTGTTTATGAGTCTTCCTCCAGTCCTGATGCCACATTCTTCATATAGTCCAGCTTCTCAGATTATTTGCTCAGCACACAGATTTAGTAAGTATGGTGAAAGGGTACAACCCTGACACACACCTTTCCTGACTTTAAACCACGCAGTATCACCTTGTTCTGTTTCGATGACTGTGTCTTGGTCCATGTACAGGTTCCTCAGGAGCACAATTAAGTGTTCTGGAATTCCCATTCTTCACAGTATCATTCATAATTTGTTACGATCCACACAGTTGAATGCCTTTGCATAGCCAATAAAACAGGTAAAAATTTTCTCTGGTATTCTCTGCTTTCAGCCAAGATTCATCTGACATCGACAATGATATCCCTCATTCCACGTCCTCTTCTGAATCCAGCCTGAATTTCTGGCAGTTCCCTGTCAATGTACTGGCACAACTGTTTTTGAATGATCTTCAGCAAAATTTCACTTGCTTGTGATATTAAGGATATTGTTCAATAATTTCTGAGTTCTGTTGGATCACCTTTGTTTGGAATGAGCACAAATACGAACTTCTTATAGTTGGTTGGCCAAATTTTTTTGCATAGATGAGTGAGCACTTCCAGTGCCATGTCTGTTTGTTGAAACATCTCAATTGTATTCTGTCAATTCCTGGAGGCTTGTTTTTCTCCGATGCCTTCAGTGCAGCTTGGACTTCTTCTTTCAGTATCACTGGTTCGTGATCATATGCTACCTCCTGAAATGGTTTAATGTTGACCAATTCTTTTTGGTTCAGTGACTCTGTATTCCTTTCACATTCTTTTTATTCTTCTTGTGTTATTCAGTATTTTGCCCATAGAATCCTTCAATATTGCCACTCGAGGCTTAAATTTTTTTTTTTTCAGTTTGAGAAATTCTGAGTATGTTCTTCCCTTTTTATTTTGTAACTCCAGGTCTTTGAACATTTCATTATAATACTTTGTCTTCTTGAATCACCCTTTGAAATCTTCTGTTCAGCTTTTACTTCATCGTTTCTTCTGTTCACTTTAGCTCTACATTGAAGAGCAAAGTTCAGAGTCTCTTCTGACATTCATTTTGTTTTTTTCTTTTTTTCCTGTCTTTTTAATGACCTTTTGCTTTCTTCATGTATGATGTCCTTGATGCCCTCCAACAACTCATCTGGTCTGCGGTCATTAGTGTTTAGTGCATCAAATCTATTCTTGAGATGGTCTCTAAATTCAAGTGGAATACACTCAGGGTTGTACTTTGGCTCTCATGGATTTGTTTTAATTTTCTTCAGTTTCAACTTAAACTTGCATATGAGCAATTGATGGTCTGTTCTTTGGTTGGCCCTGTTAGAATAAACTTATTTATGGACAGCAAAATTTGAATTTCACATAATTTTCATGTATCAAGTAATGTTAAGTATTTTTTAAAGTTTTTAAAGATGTAAATATTCTTAGTTCACAGGCTGTACAAAAACAGATTTGGCCAGCATATTATAGTTTGCTGATCCCTGCTGTAGGGTATACAATATGTGTCTTTAACTTATCTGCCTTAAAATAACATACACTTCACATATAATTTATGAACCTTATAAGAAGAAACTTATTTCCCCATTTTGTATCTTTTTTCTAATGTCTTGTACTTCGCCCTATAAACCCGACTATACATTATTTTACTTTAAACAATTATGTTTTAAAGATTTTTAAAAACAAAAGTTTCTTACACTTACCCACAGTTACCAGTTCCAACATTTTTCATTCATTTGTGTAAATCTACTATCTGCTGTCATTTTCCTTCAGCCTGAATAACTTCCTTTAACATTTCTTATAGTACAATTCCGTTGATAACTTCTTTCAGCTTTTGAACAAACTTCATTTTTGAAGCATATTTTAGTGGGATATAAAATTCTAGTTGGGTAGTACAGTAAGTCCACGGGTTATGAATGTCCGACTTAGAGACAACTCCTACTTGCCCTTTATTGTTATATAAATTTGCCGTCACTTTGTGACAGTTGATCCAACCCCTATTTGCAACACATTCTTCATCACAATCACCTTCACTTGCTGCATGTGCAGCATTTAGATCATCGAGAAAGCTTTGAGCCTTTTCTTGCACCAAACCCAAAAAACCAAACCCACTGCCTTTGAGTTGATTCTGACTCATAGCGACCCCATAGGGTTTCCAAGGCTGTAAATCTCTACAGAAGCTGACTGCCACATCTTTCTCCTGAGGAGCTGCTGGTGGCTGGCAAGGCTAAATAAGAACCGTATGCACCTGTTCTGACTTACCTACAAATCCTTAAAGACACACTTAGGAACAGATCTCATTCATAACCTGGGGACTGCCTGTGTTTTTCGTTCAGTACTTTAAAGATTTCTTTCCTTTGTTTTCTTGGCTTATATTGTTTCGCATGAGAAATCAGATGTTATTCTTATCTTTGTACCCATATTGGTAATCTTTGTTTTCCTCTTCCTGCCTTTAAGATTTTCTCTATATCGGTGGTTTTCAGGAATTTGATTATGATATTCCTCACTTTCATTTTTTTGACGTTTATTCTGGTGGACGTTTTTTGAATTTCTTCTATCTTTTGGTTTATACTTTTCACCAAATTTGGGGATTTTTCAGACATGATTTCTTGAAATATTTTTCTGCCTAACCCTTTCCACTCTGGATCTCTAGTTATGCATAAGTTAGATTTTTTTTGCTTGATGTTGTCCCACAGGTCTTTAAGGTTATTCATTTCTTTTTGGGCTTTTTGTCTCTGTGCTTCAATTTAAGTTACTAATGCTGTGTCTTCAAGTGTATTAATCTTCTCTGCAGTGCCTATTCTGCTGTTAAGCCAAACTGGTGGATTTTTAATTTCAGATATTGTATTTTTTCAGCTCTAAAAGTTCTCTTTGATTCTTTTTTATATCTTCTCCTTCTCTGTATGTTCATCTTTTTCTTCACTTCTTTGAGCATATTTGTAATTGTTATTTTAAAGTCCTTGTCAATTCTATTATGTCTGTCACTTTGATTTTTTTTTTTTCCTTCTCATGGTTAGGGGTTATATTTTCTTGCTTCTGGACAGGACTCTAGATGTCTAGATGAATGTTGTTGATTGCCTGGATTTTGTTGTCTTCCTTTAAAGAGTGTTGGTTTTTGCAGGTAGTTAAGTTACTCTCAGATCAACTTGATCCTTTGCAGGAATCTTTTAGAACGGTGTTTGGGCAGGTTTAGAGCAACCTTTACTCGAGGACTGGCTTAGTTCTACTACTAATGCATGACTCTGTGGGCCCTCTATTGAATGCCCCTCATGTTAAATGAGGTTTTTCTGGTTGTCAGATCTCTGCTTATAGCTCTCTGGTAGTGATTATTTGCTCAGACTTATGGGGTTTCACCCTATACATGTACAGCTTAGTATTTAACCAATGACCCAAAAGAACCCCTATTTAGATTTATGGAGTTATTTCCTCTGTGGTGTTCCCTCCTATCTAGTAATCTGCCCCACAGATTCCAGCTGCCTTGTTCTCTGTTTCTGACTCCTCACCTTAGTGAGACCCCTGTGCTCTTCTTGGGTTCCCTTTCTCTGGTCTGGAAAGTGTGTCAAGCTCAAAGCCAGGGCAATCACAGGGCTCTCATTAATTTTCTTCTCTCACTGGTTACAGTCCTGCACTGCCTGCTGTTCAGTGTCTGAAAGAGCGATTTTGTATATTTCATCCAGCTTTGTAGTTGTTTACAAGGGCTAGTCTCTTATCAGTAATTCCATCACGGGTGGAAGTTGAGGTCTTGAGACACAATTCTAAAAGGGATATTGCAAGGCAGATTTTATGGCTATTTTTACATTATTGTTAATTATTAAAGCTTTGTTACATTTCAGTCTGTTGTGCTTTTAATCTTTCGTACAGGTTTTTATGATGTATGAATAAACTTTCCGAAACCTTGCAAATACTGAATTTCTTTTCTCTTTAAAGATTTTTTCTCGTGGAGAGGTTATCCATGTGAAGATCCTTGGAATTTTGGCTCTTATTGATGAAGGTGAAACAGATTGGAAATTAATTGCTATCAACGTGAATGATCCCGAAGCCTCAAAAATTCATGGTAAGGCTATACCTTTCCAGAAAGCAGAAGCAAATCAATGTGTCATTGGGATTTTTAGGATTTAAAAGGGCCTCATGTAAAACATTACTTATATATTTGGGAGTTGAATTTTATATTTTTTTCTGTATTCTATTTCCAAGAATCTAACATGGTTGTGTCTAAGTTGTGTCAGATAACTTAGAAAGAGGTAGACAGACAAATTATAGTCAAACTAAGAAAGTGCACTTTGGGTTACTGACACAATTTTCAAGAATTTATTGATTTTAAAAGACTTGATTATTTGTTTTTCTTCCCTTCCCTTCCTCTTCCTCCATTCCTCCCTCTCCCTTCCTTTCTCCCTCCTGTCTACCTGCCCCCACCTTCCTGCCTCCTTTCCCCTCTTCCTTTTTTACTTTCTTCCTCCTTCCCTCCTTCTTTCTTTCCTTTCTTCCTCTCTCCTTCCTTGAATGAATTGTGATGTCCTAACTGCTCCTGGGAATTGTGAGTTTTCAAAGCATACCTGGACTAAGTTTTCAAAGCATATAATACTGGCACTTTTACACTGAAATCTCACTTTTGTTCATATGAGCAATTAGGGATGGGGATGGGGGGCTAAGGAAAGAGCTTTCATCAAGGACATAAGCTGTTTCTATACCTAGTTTTTGTTTTCTGTTATACTAATGAAGGTAAAGATAACTGCCCTCGGACAAAATTTTGATGTCCCAGAAATTTGAATTCTGGACATTATGGCATGGCATCATGAAGAGTTGATTTTCTTTAGAGTCAGACAGACTTCAGTTTGAGTTCTGACTTTGCTACTTCCTGAGTATCATCAGGTAGATCATTTAACCTTTCTGAATTCCAGTTTGCTCATCTATAAATGGAGATAATAATGCCTACTGGTAAGGTTGTTGGCCATATAAGAGATGATTTATTTAAAGCATCTGGCTTTCATATATCAGGGTTGAATATATGGCAGCTATTATTATTCTTTGACCATTTTTTTCCCCCATTTTTATAACCTTTTCCCTTCAGTTTCATCCTGAATTATTTAGGATCCTGGTGCCTTCTAGACTTCAATTCTTATCTAAACTGGAAATTATATCATTTGTGAGTTGACTGAAATTCATTAACAACTATGTGCTGACTTCTTTTCATATGCATTTAGTACTTTTTCTTACACATGGGATGGCAAAAGGGATTTTTTGCCAGTCTTTTTGCATGTATTTCAGAAAAGGGAAGGTCCGATGAGTGCATCTAACCTCAGTGAAAACTAAAACATGAAAACTACAATTATGAGACTGGAATCCGTAAACCATAATGTTTCTCATCTGTTTCATTATTTTACTCTGGATTTATTTATCTTCATAGTTCTCATACATACATACATATATAAAAGTGGTAAATATTATCAAGTTTTTTATTTATTTTTATTTTTTAGTCCGTTAACTACTCCTCAGATGAGAATTGATGATATGATGGTGCAATAGCCAGCCAAAACGAGCCATGCACCTTATTCATTTGTGATGTGGTACACCAAAGCCACGAAACACTACTAAGTATGCCCCTTTTAAATGAAAGTAGGAGGAACTGAGAGCCTGAATGAAACTCATCTTTAGGTGGAATTAGCTAGACATGGCTGGAACCTGATTTAACATCTTTAACTAGCATCTGCCGAGCACTGGTGCCTGCTCTAGTAGTTATTATTGACCCTGATTTAGGAGATGCTCAGAGGATTTTATTAACTCACCCAAGTTTGCATATCTAGTAAATAGTAGAAAAATGGTTTGAACTGATTTGTTTGATTCTAAAATCTATTGTTCACATACAATACTATATTGAGCAAAGAAAAATCAAAACCAGTTGCCATCGAGTTGATTCTGACTCACAGCAACCTCATCTGTTTCATAATTGAAGCGCTCTCCTGTAGAAATGGCTTGGGGGCAGTGTCTGACCTCCTATAACTTCACAAGGTGGGAGCAGAACCAAGACTAACAGCCCAAGGCTGATTCCTTTGAGGCAGGAGTCAGACATGCCACCTCTCTCTGCCATCTTTACCAATTCTGACACCAACCGTCCCTCCCACAGTACTCTCTGGTTTTCTCCTGGGTTCGATAATTCATTGCAGTGGCCACCAAGAACTCATGAACAACACTCAACGATTATGGAGTTTCTTAGGGAATTTACAGGTTATAATTCAGGCTCAGGAACACTCAAGATACAGTTCTTTCATCAGGATAGCCTCTTCCCAGCTGTGCTCACAGGCACGCCTCTCCCTGACCCTTAATATCTGCCCAAGGCACTCATCTTTCTCTCTCTTTGGGCCAGGAAACCCACTGCGCCATCTCCTGCTGCCGGGTCTCTGCTGCTGGTCTCTCCTTCCTTGGTGGTGGTGGACGACTCCTGTCTGTTCTGGAATTTGTTCTCTTTTAAGGCAAAACTGAGCAATCCGCTTGGCAGACCACCATTACCCTGTCACATAGTCACCTGGGTGGGAGTTAGAAGGCCATGGCTAGAAAAGCCACACACAAAATTAATTAATCATTGCCACAGCTCCATAGGGTTTTCAATGGCAGTGATCTTTTGGAAGCAGATCACCAGGGCTTTCTTCCGCTGTACCTCTGGGTAGATTTGAACTGCCAGGATTTTGGTTAGTAGCCAAGTGCTTAAGTGTTTGCCCAACCCAGGGACTGCCTAAGCAAGTCAGACTTTATTCTGGTAGCTTATAGTATTTGTCAGTGGAAGTATTGTGACTACATCACGTAAGCTTAAGTGCCTTACTCCTTCCTGAGTTTCCTGAGGGTTGGAATGAAAAAATTTAACTCTCTTATCACTTTATATCTGTTGTGTACCCAGAGTGGAGATGACTTCGCACTTTGAGCATCTTTCTAAATTTCTTTTGTCTTGCCTTTATAGGAGTCCTGGTGGCACAGTGGTTAAGCGTTTGGCTGCTAACCAAAGGGTTGGCAGTTCAAATCTACCAGCCACTCCTTGGAAACACTATGGGGCAGTTCTACTCTATCCTATAGGTTTGCTGTGAGTTAGAATTGACTCGACGGCAATGAGGTTTTTTTTTTGGGGGGGGGGGGCGCAGGGAGGGGGTATGCCTGTATAAAGACACATGCAGAAATAGTGAAGCCAGCTGCTGATTTAGGTTGAGAAGAAGTCATTGGACTACGTTTTTAATGTAATTTTATTTATTTTGTTGTTGTTGAAAGTATACACAGCAAAACATACACCAATTCAACAGTTTCTACATGTATCTTTTAGCGACATTGATTACATACTTTGAGTTGGATGACCATTCTCACCTTCCTTTTCTGAGTTGTTCCTTCTCCATTAACATAAATTCACCACCCCCTAAGGTTCCTATCTAATCTTTCGAGTTGCTGTCTTCGATTTGATCCTATATAGATAGTTCTTAAAAGAGCATACTGCTCAACGGAGCATTTTTTACTAATCAAGCTAAACCATTGTCCAGTTTTAAGAAGACTTCGGGGGATATTTTTGGTTTAAGGTTTAAAGATTATCTCAGGGCAGTAGTTTCAGGGGTTCATCCTTCATGGCTCCAGGAAGTCAGGAGTCCATGAGAATTTGGAATTCTGTTCTGCATTTTCCCTCTTTTGATTGGGATTCTTCTATACAATCTTTGCTGTAAATGTTCAGTAATGGTAGCCAGACACCATACAGTTCTTCTGCTTTCATAGCAATGGAGGCAGTTGTTCATGGAGGCAATTAGCTACACACTCCATATCCTCCTTTTATTCTGACTCTCCTTCTTCGTCTGTTCCAGACAAATAGAGAGCAATTGTGCCTTGGATAGCTGCTTGCAAACATTTAAAACCCCAGACACTACACATTGAACTAGAAGGTAGAACAGAGGCACTAAACTTGTTATTAGACCAGTTGACTGGGATGTCCCATGAAACTGTGACCCTAAACCTCCAAACCAAGAAACCAAATCCCTTGAGGTATTTGGTTGTATTTAATGAGTCTCAGCAGCTACTCTCTTTTTTTTTTTTTTTTTTTTGTCATTGTAAACATATCACACAACTTTGCCAAGTCAACTTTTTACAGGTATACACCTTGTTGACAGCAAGTACAATAATCAGCTGTGCAACCTTACCTTTAATCAATGTGATATTTCCATCACCCTTAACCTACTCTTTCCTCTCCCTCTTGCTCTTGGTAACCGCTAATGAACTTTGTTCTCTATACATTTACCATTTTTTATAAGTGAGATCATACAATATTGTCTATTTTTGTGTTTGACTTATTTCACTCAGCATAATGACTTCCAGCTTCATCCATATTGTAGCATGTATCAAGACTTCATTTCTCCTACTGACTGAGTAGTATTCCATTGTATGTATGTACCACATTTTGTTTATCCATGCATGTGTTAATGGGCATTTAGATTGTTTCTACCTTGGACTCGGTTTTGAAATGGAAGAAAAAAGACTTTTTTTCTATTCCGTTAAAAGGGAACACATGTATTCCTTTGCCATGAAAAAAATACAACAAAGCTTCTCCATGACATGTTTTTAAAATCTTAAAAGACTAGCTTAATATTTTTGTTATTGTCATAGTTTGCTCTGAAATGGTATGCTGACATCGTGCTTTGCATTTATTTTCAGAATGAGTAGAGGTTTAGGGAAAAATGGAAATTGTTTAAGGATATTTGCATATTGTTCAACTGCTTAGTGTCAAAGAAGTTATATAGTTTTTAAAATTTATATATTTTTCCCTTTACTACGTTTCATTCGTTTTTTTTCCCTTTACGTCATTGTCATATATTCCACATATCTTTATTCAGTTTTCTTCTCTCTTCTCTCACTTCAAAATGTCCAGGGGGAAAAATATATTAGGTACAAATTAAAAGGCAGAAGAAATCATAGGATAAAATGCTTTTTATCACAAATCATAGGATACTAGTTAGCCCTATGGAGTAGCCTTTTTTCCTTAATACGTATTTGAACTAAAGTTGTGACTTGTATTTACCATATGGGTCAGACATCATC